CATAACATTATTTTCATTGCTATTTCATAACAGTAATTTTGCTACTGTTAGGAATCGTAATGTAAATATCTGATATGCAGGAAGTATTTTCATTCATTGAACCAAATTTGGCACAAATACCCGATACACCCACATTTGAATGCTGGTGGGGTTGGGGTGGGAATTGATTTTGTCATTTGGGAGTTGGAGTTACTGGGATTTATAGTTCACCTACAATCGAAAGCATTCTGAACCCTGCCAATGATAAAATTGGGCCTAACTTCCCACACAGGGACCCCTATGACCAACAGAAAAAACTGGAAAGGTTTGGTGGGCATTGACCTTGAGTTTAGGAGTTGTAGTTCACCTACATCCAGAGAGCACTGTGGACCCAAACAATGATGGATCTGGACCAAACTTGGCACGGATACTCAATATGCCCAAATGTGAACACTGGTGGAGTTTGGGGGAAAATAGACCTTGACATTTGGAAGTTGCAGCTGCTGGGATTTAGCGTTCACCTACAATCAAAGAGCATTCTGAACCTCACTAATGATAGAATCGGGCCAAACTTCCCACACAGAACCCCCATGGCCAACAGAAAATAATGTGTTTTCTGATAGTGTTTGGCAACGTCTCTGTAACCCCCCTCATGACCCCCCCTTCCATGGGTCCCAACAGCCAGGTTGAGAAATGCTGATGTAGAGCAAACTTGCCCAACATGACAAACTTTATGTATTGATGGAGTTTCAAGGAATGAATCCATCTTGATGTGAGTGGTAGCTCACCCACACCCTTATGCATTTTGTAAACAAATTACTTCTTCTACTAACCTGGGCAATGTCGGGTCCCCAAGCTGGTTCTGAAACAGAAGACAGAAGGCTGCCTGTCCCTCTCCTTTTAAATGCCCGTCTTTTCCCTAGGCATCAGAAGCATCCTGAAAAAGTTGGTAGCCCAATTCACCAGCATGTTAGTATAGCTCTGGGGATATGACATTTCCCAGATGTATGGCGTGCCCTACAGCTGTTAGGGTTCAGCTCAAGATAGTTTGCCTGGGGAAGAGCAGCAAATGGCATCCTTCCCAAGTGGATTTGCATCATATGCAAATCAGGTCAAGTTATTTCTGGCATCTGTCCTCCCTTTGAGTTTAAAAAAATACAACAACAAGGCCTGGGGTTGTGCAGCATAAAATTATGCCAGCAGAGCTGCACTGAAGTTACTGGATTGTATAACTGCCCAGCCGATGGTACAATACGATTATTATTATTATTATTATTATTATTATTATTTCTCAACCTGAGGGTCAGGACTTCTGGGGGGATCATGAGGGGGTGTCAGAGGGGTCACCAAAGACTGTATTTTCTGTTGGTCATCGGAGTTCTGTGTGGGAAATTTGGCCCAATTCTATCTTTGATGGTGTTCAGAATGCTCTGATTGTAGGTGAACTATAAATCCCAGCAGCTACAACTTCCAAATTTCAAGTCTATTTTCCCCAAACTCCACCAGTGTTCGCATTTGGGCATATTGAGTATTCACGCCAAGTTTGGTCCAGATCCATCATTGTTTGAGTCCACAATGCTCTGGATGTAGGTGAACTACAACTCCAAAACTCAAGGGCAATGCCCACCAAACCCTTCCCGTATTTTCTGTTGGACATTGGGGTCTCTGTGTAGGAAATTTGGCCCAGTCCTATCATTGGTAGGGTTCAGACTGCTTTTCAATTGTAGGTGAACTATAAATCTCAGCAACTACGACTCCCAAATGTCAAGGTCTATTTTCCACAAACTCCACCTATGTTGACATGTGGGCACATTGAGTATTCATGCCAAGTTTGGTCCAGATCGATCATTTTTGAGTCCATAGTTCTCTCTGGATGTAGGTGAACTACAACTCCAAAACTCAAGGTCAATGCCCACCAAACCCTTCCAGTATTTTCTGTTGGTCATGGGAGTTCTGTGTGCTAAGTTTGGTTCAATTCCATCACTGGTGGAGTTCAGAATGCTCTTTGATTAAAGGTGAACTATAAATCCCAACAACTACAACTCCCAAATGTCAAGGTCTATTTTTCCTAAACTCCACCAGTGTTCACATTTGGGCATATTGAGTATTCATGGCAGGTACTGGTCCAGATCCATCATTGTTTGAGTCCACAGTGCTCTCTGGATGTAGGTGTAAACACTGATGGAGTTTGGGGAGTGGCATGAGCTTCTGCTGTCAGCCCCAGCTTCTGCTAACCTAGCAGTTCGAAAACATGCAAATGTGAGTATTTATTTATTTATTATTTACTTACCACAACATATGAGGAACTGTATTAAAGGGCCATGGCATTAGGAAGATTGAGAACCGCTGCTCTATCTCTTTGCTCACTATTGGAAAGTATCTCTTGAGAACTTCTCCAAAGCTGAAGTCAGCCATGGATGGAAAGAGGTTTTCAACCCATGAAGTCCGCTCCATAATTTACAATGGTATGCCTATCAGAAACGGGCATTGATTCAACCCCTCTTTGCTTGAAAGAATGGGGAAGTACTAGATGTGCGAGAGGAATAAATTGTCGGTTTGGAGGTGGGAAGGAGAAAGAGCCCAGGGAGTTGGTGACACCAAGGAATAGGAAGAAGCAGGCGGAGCGCCTCAGTGGCAACGCTCTCTCCCTTCGAGAGCAAAATAGCCCATGAATCATGTTCTAACCAAAATCATAAATAAACATGGGAGGGAGAGAGGGAGAGAGAGCATGTGAGGAGAGGCCATAAAATGCATAAAATGTACCTCTCATAACCATTTTAGGGTGATTAATCCATCAGTTGTGCCTAGTAACCTGCTCATAAGCTGCAGCCTACACTACAGAATCATAATAAAGACTTCAGCACACTTTGTGCCATTAACTGTCTCTGTAATTTTTCTATTAGGGATATCAACGGAATGAAGACAAATATCGCATTATCTCCCTGAGTTTGCACACAACTCTTTCAACCTATACCTGAGCTGTGTTTTCATACCCTCCGAGGCAGATGAACACAGTGGAAGCTATTCCTCTTCTAATCTATATAAATAAAAATGTCATGTTCGTTTGTGAGATTAACATAACTCAAAAACCACTGGACGAATTGACACCAAATTTGGACACAAGACACCTAACAACCCAATGAGTGACCATCACTCAAAAAATTGATTTTGTCATTTGGGACTTGTAGTTGCTGGGATTTATAGTTCACTTACAATCAAAGAGCATTCTGAATCCCACCAATGAAGGAATTGAACCAAACATGGCACACAGGATTCCCATGACCAACAGAAAACACTAGAAGGGTTTGGTGGGCATTGACCTTGAGTTTGGGAGTTGTAGTTCACCTACATCCAGAGAGCACTGTGGACTCAAACAATGATTGATCTGGAAAAAACATGGCACAAACACTCTATACACCCAAATTTGAATATTGGTGGAGTTGGGCTCAAACAATGATAGATCTGGACCAAACTTGGCACAAATATTCCATATGCCCAAATATGAACACAGATGGGGTTTGGGGGAAATAGACCTTGACATTTGGGAGTTGTATTTACTGGGATTTATAGTTCACCTACAATCAAAGAGCATTCTGAACCCCACCAATGACAGAATTGGGGCAAACTTCCCACATAGAATCCTCATGCCCAACAGAAAATACTTAAGTCCAACCAGTCCAACTCCCTTCACCGGGGGAAGAAAATATAATCAAAGCCCTCCTGACAAAGAGCCATCCAGCCATAGATATAGAGATAGATGATAGATAGATGATAGATAGATAGATAGATAGATAGATAGATAGATAGATAGATAGATATGATTCACACACACACATAATATCATAGATTTGAAAGGGACCCCTAAAGAAGGATAATTATATGTTGCATGCTCCAGAGTAGGCAAACCAGACAATCTCCACATCCACACTGGCAAAGAAACAGCAAAAAATACTATTTACACACTAGCATAAAGACATTACATATATTAGAAATCAACACTTTCTCATTACTTTATTTTCCAGATCACCAGACTGTGCCACAGCAAAGCATGGCAGGGGATGGCTAATCCATAAAAATAAAAATGTAATGTTCGTTTGTGGGATTAACATAACTCAAAATCCACTGGACAAATTGACACCAAATTTGGACACAAGACACCATGAAAACTAAGATCTTCTGGGGAGACCCTGCTCTCGGTCCTGCCACCATCACAGGCGTGTTTGGCAGGGACGAGAGACAGGACCTTTTCAGTGATTGCCCCCCCCCCCCGAGCTGTGGAACTCCCTTCCTGGTAATATGAGATCAGCCCCCTCCCTCCTGCCCTTCAGAAGGATGGTTGAGACCTGGCTGTGGGGCCAAGCCTTTGGGGCAGTGCAAGGAGGCAAAAGGGTGTCCTGTCCTGACATGGTTTTAAAGCAACTTTTAATATGGATATAAGTTGTTGTTTTTTTGTTGTGCCAGGAGCGACTTCAAAAACTGCAAGTCGCTTCTGGTGTGAGAGAATTGGCCGTCTGCAAGGACGTTGCCCAGGGGATGCCAGGATTAATTGATGTTTTTATCATCCTTGTGGGAGGATTCCCTCATGTCCCCGCATGAGGAGCTGGAGCTGATAGAGGGAGCTATCCACCTCTCCCCGGATTCGAACCTATGACCTGGCAGTCTTCAGTCCTGCCGGCACAGGAGTTTAACCCACTGTGCCACTGGGGGCTCCTATGGATATAAGTGATTTTAATGTTTGTATATATTTATGGTTTTATGTCCCGGCATTGTATGTTTGCCGTGTATATGTTGTGCTCTGCTCTGAGTCCCCTGAGTCGGGGTGAGAAGGGTGGAATATGCATGTTTAAATAAATAAATAAATAAATAAATAAATAAATAAATAAATAACATATTTGTTTCCAATTTATGAAAAGAGAGTCAATGAATGGAAACAGAATCCCTCTGCTCTCTCTCGGCCAGCATCCAGATATGCCCAGGATGCTCTGTGCCTTTAAATCCTTTTGCTTGGCTCAAGCCTCGCCTCCTTTTCTGACACAGCACAAGCTGAGCATCTTTCAGCTGAACCATAGTCTCCAAGCTGGAAGACTGGGAAGCGAAGGAGTGCAGTTCTCCCCAGTTTCTTGGCAGGAGAGGAAGAGGAGGAGGAAGAGGAAGAGGAGAAAGAAGCAGCTAGCTGCAGTGCTCTTTCATAGGCGCACACATGCACATGCACATCTCCCCATCTTCACATCCCCTGCTGAGCAGCCTAAGCAAGAAAGAGGAGCATGCATTAGGAGAGGAGACTTGCCAGAGAAAAGCAGGAGGAGGAAGAGGAGGAGGAGCCGCTTTTGCCTTGCTCTGCCTACATGGCTTGCCTTTCGGATGGAAGGACTAGCCGTCACGGTCAGCAGAACTAGGGATCTCTGAAGCTTTAAAGAAGACGTGTGTTCTCTTTTTTTGGAACACCTTAGTCTTGGCTTCCTGGGTTCTCTTCTATCAGGATGTGAACTGCATCCAAACTCGGTGACTTCTGGATCCAGCTGGAAGACAACAACATAGGACTGGGCTTCTGGGCTTCCCCAGGGAGTTAACTCACCTGCTTCCTCTGCATGAGGGAGATGAGGTGCTGAGAAGGACAGGGACTCCATCCTGCTCTTCCTCTCCAAGATCTCTCCAAGGTGCACCATGTCACCTGTGGACTGGAGACCGAGGCCCATGGCACGGTGGGGTGGAACCCTTCTGCTATGCAGATGGGAAGGCTGCAAAGCCAGAGCTTCTGGACTGAATTGATTCATCTTCCCATCTGGTTGCAGGGAGAGGAGGAAGGGTGCTCTTTCTATTCATGCAGAGAGGGTACCGTGTCCCCCTTTCCCCTTTACTTCTTCCAGCATTCTTGAAGGAAACCAGAAGGGCAGGAACCACGATGCATCCGCATGGGATCCAAGGGTTAATCTGAGGGTTAGGAGCTCCACATATCCTGGATTATCCTTTTCTCCTCCATCCTACCCCCATCTATTTTTTTCAAAACTGTGATGTATCCAAATGGTTCTCCATGAATGTCCAGATTCACTCAGCCAAAGAGGACTGAAGGGTCTTTTTTGAACACCCTAAAAAGGACGAAAGGAACCTGTCTCTTCCAGCCAAAGCCACACAGTTCTACACCGTTCTGGAGCAGCCGCCTTGCTCGTAAGTTGGCTCTTTAAATTGTCTTAATGGATTAAAAATAAGCTGCTCTTTTTCTTTTGCAAAGGATTTTTCGGAATGGAAAACATTACCAAATCCAGGCTATTTAAAGGCCTGGGAGAATGTGGTTTGGGAGGAGGGGGAGAGATTAAAGTTTGCATTGGATGGTGTGCAAAAGTCAGCACACGGAACACATTGACTCATCTGTGTCTTCTGTTCATGCGTGTGCCCTTGCGTGATGCTGACATCTTGCAGTCGGTGGGGATCCTTGCTTGAAGGGCTGATCCTTCGTAAGGGAAGTTAGCCCTGTTAGGGATGGCATGTTTATCCCGGAAAATGGGTGATATTTCCTTTGGAAGGCAGGGCTCCCTTTGACGTAGAGCGAAAGCTCATTTTGGCATTGCTCTCAAGTGTATGGGAAACTGTGATTAAGTGTCAAAGATGTGTGGTGCTGTCCAAATGAGACCTCTTGATCTGATGTGGATTCTCTTGTTGCTCTTCCCCTCCCCTCTTTCCTTTTGATGCAGGACATGATGTAGAACCTCCTGTGCTTCCAGCATCCCATGGATGACCCATCTTCATGCTCAAGAAATAAGCCACCTTGGTCCTTCAAAGGCACTTACTGTGAACCCTACAAAGAAGCTCCAAACCTCAGTCAGGGTGGACATCTCCCGTAATGGAGCCTTCCAAGGAAAGGCAGGTGGCACTGGCACCAAAGTTCTCCTGTTCGGTGAGGAACCCTGTGTGGTGAACAACCTGAGGAAGGAAAGCAGAAGACATTGTCTTCAGGATCTCCTCAAGAAATGCCTCCAAAAAAAGACAGTGATGAATTAAGGAATGGGAATGCCCTCCCTGTTGGGATGGCATAGACCGGAGCTTGCTTCCTGCAACTTTTTCAGATTGGAGCACAGATGCCAACCCTTAACCCCTTAAGGTGGCCATTCCTGGTGATTTCATCTCAACTGGCTTTGCAGCCCAGTGGTGATTCTCAGCCTTCTCAATCTGTGAGGGTTCCTTCTGCAGCTGGGATGGATGGCGTGTGCTGGATTGGTGCTTGCCTTAATCCCGACGCAATGGCCCCAGATTTGTTGCCCCGATCCAACTAGGGTGGGGAGATCAAGGGGTGGCAGGTCAAGGTGCGGCTGAGGCAGGGTTCTGGGGCAGGGTGGGGGAGCGTTAAGATGTGGAGATCTCCCCAGCCAAGAGACGTTCCGTGGAGGCACAGTCTGGCTGGGCAAAAGCAGAATGCACAGCGCGGCTCTGCCCCAGCTCCCTGGCACCGTGTGAAGGATGAACTCCCGGGGCTTGCAGGACAGGCAGCCCACTGACCACGCCACCAGCAGCAGCAGCAACACCGGCGAGAGGGAGCGCATCAGGGGACGCATGAAAATGGTGATCGGACAGCTTGAAGGCATCCTGCAAGAACTTAAGGAGGTGGCCAAGGAACTCCGAGACGTAAGTGCAGCTTGGGATGCAATGGGAAGGGCGTGAAGGTGCATCTAGAGTCAAGGATAGGTGGAGAACCAGATCTAGAACAAAGGCCTGGTCAAAACAGTTATGAAAAACTGGACATGCATAAAGTAGGTGCAGAATTTGTGCAAGGTCTCAGGTAGAGAATAAGGCATGCATATGAGTAATCATAAGAGAATCTGCAGGGCTCTGTTTCTCCTTTTCTGAAAAGCTAAGTCCAGTTCTCTGACACTCTCGTGAGGGTTCCAGTTGTCAGCCTGTACGGTTTTATCCATATGACTGCACCTATCAGTAATGTTAAGGTTGCGTAAATGTTCTGCAGTTGTGAATTTCAGCTATGGTTGCACTGCATCATGGGATTTGTCATCTGAAAGCCATGTCAATGTTTCTGTGGCTAAGTAGGGCATGTGCGCTTCGTTCTAGGTTGCCTTTGATATTTTGTGATCACAGGAGATGTTTTAGCTGGAAAGTACTTAACTATTGCAAAAATGCAACCGTTTGCTCAACTCACAAATCTCACGGGTAGACATAATCATCAGTAGTGTAACTGGGGCCTCATTCATGAGACAGGAGATGATGCGTTGAGCCATATTTTGGAGAAATGAAATCTAAAAGTATTGTCAAAGGCTTTCATGGCCAGAATCACTGGGTTGTTGTGAGTTTTCAACTCCCACAATTCCTAATAGTTGGTAGGCTGTAAGGAATTGTGGGAGTTGAAGTTCAGACCATCTGGAGGGCCAAAGTTTGCCCATGCCTGAAGTAGACCCAACTTACAGGAAAAAAGACAAAAATTATGTATCTTAGATAACATAATTATGGCACTTTTAGAGTCTGGGTTGTTGTGAGTTTTCCAGGCTGTCTGGCCATGTTCCAGAAGCATTCTCTCCTGACATTTCACCCACATCTATGGCTGGTATCCTAATAGGCTGTGAGGTCTGTTGAAAACTAGGAAAAATGGAGTGTATATGTATCTGTGGATATATTACAAATAAAGAACAACACTCAAAAACAAGGGAAATCCAGACATGAAACAATCAGGGCCAGCTAATCACTCCCAATAAAGGATTCCCCCAGGCAGTAAGAAGCCAGACTTTGAAACTGCTAGGATATTAAATGCTAATCAAGATGGCCAATTACAACATTCACACTTACCTTAAGCAGACAAGAGTGCTTTCTCCCACCCTGGACATTCCCCATTCTTCCTAGACCTCAAAACCTCTGAGGATGCCTGCCATAGATGTGGGTGAAACGTCAGGAGAGAATGCTTCTGGAACATGACCATACAGCCTGGAAAACTCACAAAAACTCAGACTCTAAAAGTGCCATAATCATGTTATCAAAGATACATTATTTTTATGTTTTTTCCTGTAAGTTGGGCCAAACTTTGCCCTCCATGTTAGGAATTGTGGGAGTTGAAGTCCAAACCACCTGGAGGGCTGAAGTTTACCCATGCCTGGTCTACCTCCTTTGTCTCCTCACTTTATGTTGTTTCACCTTACTTTCTGGTTGCAAGATGTGCCACCTCTAGACACTTGGAAGATGAGGCATATCTCGGGTCTCTTTCCTTCTTGTTTCTCTCATCCATTGCTTTCTCTGGAAAAATAGCAGATATTCAGACACTATGGAGGAGCTTATAGGGTTGTGCTTTTGGGGTAAACCTTGATCCGTTTCGTGTCCCAGCTTTCGGTGTGACCCTGATCCATTTTTGGGGAGCCAGCTTTTCTTGAGGGTATTCTGGCCACCATGGGAGCTGTCCCTTCACCGACCATTTGTGACACTGATGAAGTACTTCCTCAGTCTTTGCATGGTTGCTGGAGATTTTTATGGCCTTGTAAATTAGTTAAATTAGCCTCCCTGCATAAGCAATACCTAAATTTCCTACCTGACAGCTGCAACTGTCTTTCAGGCTGCAAAGGTCCACAGCAAGCTACACAAATTGGTTGGAAGCTCACTCTGACCCAGGCTGGCTTTGAACTCATGACCTTTCAGTCAGTAGTGATCTTAATGCAGCCAGCTGCGCCACAGTCCCAGTGTTGTAGGGAGGCATGCACTCTAAGAAGGCTTCAATTCTTACCTGATTCTTACTCTAGAGGAGGCACTTGGCTGCAGGTAGGCATGCGTGCTTTCTGGACCTGCACACCATACGCGCATCCTTTCCAAGGCAAGGAGGCAGCTAACGAAAAGCAGGCGAGATTGGCTCCCACTTGCTTTCATGTCAAGCTGATTTTTGTGCCGGGAGGGGTCCTCCCATTATGTCAGGCATGGGCAAACTTTGGTCCTCCAGGTGTTTTGGACTCCAGCTCCTACAATTCCTTACACTATATTGGCTAAGTTCTTGTCGGTTTTTTTGGGCTATATGGCCATGTTCTAGAGGCATTTCTCCTTACGTTTTGCCTGCATCTATGGCAAGCATCCTCAGAGTTAGTGAGGTAGAACCATTCCACAGGAAACGTCAGGAGAAATGCCTCTAGAACATGGCCATATAGCCCGAAAAAACCCACAAGAACTTAGTGATACCAGCCATGAAAGCCTTCTACAATTCTATATTGGCTGTTAGGAATTGTGGGAGTTGTAATCCAAAATTTATTTATTTATTTATTATTTTATTTTGAACACTTTAACCCCGGCCTTCTCAACCCCTGGGGGGACTCAGGGCGGCTTCCAGTTGGCACAGTTCGATGCCACATAATAAAATACAAAACACCAATAGCTATAATAGTTTAAAACATTAAACATTAAATCAACATACTTACAACTACTGAACTATAAATACCTGGAGGGCCAAAGTTTGCTTGTGCCTGCATTACGTGCTCTCGAAGACAGCGAAATTAACGAAAGAGCAGATGAAACAAAGGAAAACAGTTCTGTGCACAACTGTAAGCCTGCAATTGCTATGGCCTCCTCAACCACTACTATAGTGTGGCCTCCGGAGATGACCGACCATGCCATTTTTCAGAGACACATCTGCCAGGGATGTGTGATACGACCTTCTCAATGACTATCCTGAGGAAAGTTCAGAGAACGGAAGTACAGATGCTAAGAGGTATGGCAAACAAAACACCAAAGGTTGAGAGATTTGGGCCTGTTCACCTTGGTGAAGAGAAGACCGAGAAGCACCATTTCAATATTGAAAAGGGCTCTCAAGGAGAGTATGGGGCAGGTTTGTTTTCTGCTATCCAAGAGTGTAGGACCAAGTGCAATGGTATGAAGTTACAGGAAGGTAGGTTTTGTTTGAGCATTGGAAGGAATATCTTGACAGTAAGAGTGGTTTAGCCATGCAGCTAATTATTTATAGAATCATAGAATCATAAAATCAAAGAGTTGGAAGAGACCTCATGGGCCATCCAGTCCAACCCCCTGCCAAGAAGCAGGAATGTTGCATTCAAATCACCCCTGACAGATGGCCATCCAGCCTCTGTTAAAAGTGGCCATCCAGCCTCTGTTTAAAGTGGTGAAGGCTCCTTCCAAAGAAGGAGCCTCCACCACACTCCAGGGCAGAGAGTTCCACTGCTGAACAGCTCTCACAGTCAGTTCTTCCTCGTGTTCAGATGGAATTTCCTCTCTTGTAGTTTGAAGCCATTGTTCCGCGTCCTAGTCTCCAAGGAAGCAGAAAACAAGCTTGCTCCCTCCTCCCTGTGGCTTCCTCTCACATATTTATACATTTAGAGAGATTGTGGAATCTCCTCCCCTGAGCCAAGCCAACCTGGACATTCCCCAGATATAGAAACCCCATTTTCTTAGTTTCCAACAGACCTCCCTACTGCTGAGGATGCCTGCCATAGATGTAGCCGAAACATCAGGAGAGAATGCTTCTGGAACATGGCCAGACATCCTGGAAAACTCACAACAAACTAGATACCAGTCTTGCTTTGAAAGACAACTGGAATAGAGAGACTAATATAATACACAACAGTGGTAAACACTTCGTAATGATCCTTTGTTTAAACCCAAGAGGAACACCAACTGAATGAATGGATGAAATGTATGGTAAATTACCTACAGATTTTGTTGCATTTCCCTCCTTATCCCCCACACCAGTTTCAGAGAAGCTCAGACTGTTTATCTCTTCGGCTTAGCATTATCTTCTTTAGGTCTCCAGAATCTCGGTTAGGATTTCCCCCCCACAACCACATGCTCACTGAGCCTTTTCACCTGAGAGCTTCTACATGCAAAGCATGTGCTTTTCAGCTGAGCGGTGGGTACAAAACCCTTGTGCTTTTTGTGTTGTGTGTTACAGAAAATATGAAACCCTGCCTCTGCTATGCCAGCTCCACTGGCTGCCGATCTGCTACTGAGCACAATCAAAGTGCTAGCTTAGCCTTTAAAGCCCCAAACAGTTCCAGCCCAGATTACCTGTCCGAACGTATCTCTCGTTACGAACCATCACAAAATTTAAGATCGGCTGGAGAGGCCCTGCTCTCGATCCCACCACCACTGCAAATTCAACTGTTGGGGATGAGAAACAGGGCCTTCTCAATGGTGGCCCCTCACTTGTGGAACCCTCTTCCCAGTGTCATCAGATTGCTTACCTCCCTCCTGTCCTTTAGTCTGGTTATGGGACCAAGCATTTGAACAGTAGCAACAGCAATCGGGAGTAAGACTCAGTGTGATATGTATGACAATGGATGCTCTCAGACACTGAATATGGTTAGCACTTGAATGAGTGACTGTTGTGAAGGCGCCCTGGTTCCCAGGCATGAAATAAATCTATATAAATAAAAATGTAATGTCCGTTTGTGGGATTAACATAAGTCAAAAGCTATAGGATGAATTGACACCAAATTTGAACACAATACACCTATCAGGCCAAGGAGTAACCATCACTCATAAAAACACTGGAAAACACAGGAGACGGGACTTAAAAAGCCAAAAAATAAAATATATATTACAATGCAAGCGCAAAACCACATATATACACATATATACAAATATATTATACACATAACACATAAACACAGACTGGGCCACAGCAACTCATGGCAGGG